ATGGATATTTTTACAGGCAAAAAAATAATATATATAATAATTAATTAATTGTATTGGGAACAATGACCTAGAGAAATGTATAGATAGGACATCTAGTGGTGAGTTTATGAACCTAGATGAAAATATATTTAATAAAATCAGTTTTCTCAGTTATGATACATACATTTTGGAATCCAAAACTTTCAATAGTATCTGGATGCATCCTTTATGATGCAAGCTGAGACTGCATCACTCAGCGATGCAACTTCAGACACAACGCACTCAAATGGAGCTAGTGATGTCACTGTGACTGGTAGGGTTAGGGGTCGGGTAAGGTGAGCCCATTAAAAAGCATTGGATGCAGCCCAGATTGCACTCCACTAGGTCTGCAGCCAGATCCATCTCCATTTTCTACACAATATGCATGTTTTAATGCTTTTCGGTACTAATATGCTCAAATAAAATCAGTAAGATAACAGCGAAAGACATTAAAATAATCTGGTTCATTAAAATAATTTCTTATAGAACACACACACACACACACACACACACACAAATGAGCATAAGAGAATAAGAGACACACTATTGACCTTATTCTCCGCCGATGAGTGGGCGCAGCCATTTGAATCTTTTTGGCTTGAGACTTCCGGTCTCATTCACTTCCATTCATTTTTAGACATTAAAAACTGCTCATTACGCTGCTTGATGTTGCAATTTGACAATTCCTTGTTATATTATTCTACTTGGTCTGTGTAGTCATGCAAACATTTGTTTGTAGACCAAGTAGTTTGACCGTTTTCTGCCGTTTATTATTCCTAGTCATTTCTCCCATAGGCTACTGAATCGGAAGTTCTAAGTCCTGCTGAGTTTAGCTCCAACTTGTTTCAAAACACCTGCCAGGATGTTTCTAGTATATCTAGTAAGAGCTTAATTAGCTAATTCAGGTGTGTTTGATTAAGGTTTGAGCTAAACTCTCCAGGACACTGGTCCTCCAGGACCGAGTTTGGACACCCCTGTTCTAAGACAATCGCGAAAACAGGCGCACTTCCGCATTTTAGAATAAGGTCAACAACAACTAACTCAGAAAGACTTACAATGTGTACTAGGTAGGACATCTAGTGGTGAATATGTGACCCTGGACCTCAAAACCAGTGTAATGTTGAAGCTGTTTTTTGGGAATAACCTAAATCTGATGATATGAGTCAAAACTATGCAAAACAAAAATCACAAATGTTTAGATTGACTTCCACGAAGAATTGTGTACATTTCCTTCCATAAATCTGTCAAAACATTTTTAATTATTATATATATATTATATTTTAAGTATTATGCATGGATGGAATTTGGACAAGTTTAAATGTATTTCTCTCAGTGATTAGATTTTCAAAGAGCTGAATCTTGGTCAACTATCAATCTGTCCTAACAAAAACAAAGGGGTATAGGGGAATTACCAACCTATTTCACACAGGTTCAACCACACATACCAGTCGCAAAAAAGACCTGTTGCAATAAACATGTCGTGTTGTGCTGTAGGATGTTAAATTCTCCTTTTGAGAAGTGGCTAACAGCCATCAAAAGAGCTGAATGTAGTGAGGACCTGATTAAAAATGCTGGACTGCAGTTCTCATTTTATATCAGGTAAGTTCACGCTATGCTGAATCACACTGTCAGGTTTTTGTTGTGTTTTCTCTGTCTCCCTCTTGTGTCTAGTTATTTGTAAGCGGTTTAACCTGTTAGCAATTCCCTTGTTTCCCGTCCTCTCCTTTCACCTGTTCTCCCTGATTATTTGGCTATTTCGTCTCCCCTTCTCCCTCGTTCTGTGCTTAAAAATTATTTTGTGTCTGTGAGTTACCTGTCCTTCCTGATCAGAAGATGGAACCTTGTCCAGTCCAGTCCTGTTCTGTCTTTACCCACTTCGTTCGTTCACCTGTGCATTGGCTCACCTCTGCTCTGCCCACAGTCTGCGCTTGTGTGAGGTCTATCCATCAGCTCGGCTGCCTGAGGTCTGTTCTTTTATTTTTCAACTGTTCAGCCAATAGGCTTTTTCTGTTTGACCAGTCCAGCATCACAGAGCTGATTCCTGACTGCCTGTGTTTCCACTATATTATTTGAGTGACTGTTTCCCTACTGCTTATAGAGCAGAGTTTTGATCCACTTCTGTTTAATAAATCTTCTTGAACGTCTCCCTTGCACCTGCAGACACTGAATGCTAAGAATGAAACGTAAAAGGGTAAGTTCACATGCCCTACCGTACAGGTGCAGTTCACTGTCAGAATGCAGTTGTTTTGCTTGTTGTCTACTTCCCTTGTCTTTGGCTAGGCAGAACCTCAGTTTTTACCACTACATGAATCTGGTAATCATGGATCCTTATTTCTTGCACATGACCACACAGAACAAAACTGTTGGCATCCAAAGACTTGTACAGTAGGCCTTTAACTCCTCTCTTGTAAAATCACTCTGAGTTTCAGTGAGATAGTTGTGTATTTGGGGCTGGATGCTTGGGCATTTCGTCTTATCCAATATCCATTGGGAGGGTGCTATCGCAAATAGACCTATCAGATGAACGCCGCTCACTTTAACGTTCATTTTGCCACATAACTGTGCTTATCACTGGGTGACAAGCTGTTATGATACACTGAACACATTATGTAAATAATATATATAATATGTAATCAATATAACTTATTTCTAAGACAACAACAAACTCTGTAGATACTGCATCAGATGTCATTTCATCGCTGTAAATACTAGCGATCCCGTTTTTGTTCTGCAACCTCACCGCCTTGGCATCCTGAATGTAACAAACCGATAATTCGTCTATATGCACACAGACTTTTAATTTCAATCAGCCAACCCAAGTTGAACTGACTTAGCATTACAAAATCACCAAGTTTAAGATCTGATTTCTTTACAAATCAGCAATCTTCGCTGCCTGATAGATATACAATATAAAGTGGGTCTCAGGCTGGACAAGAAGCACTGCATTGAATTCAAATTTTTCCCCGCCATGTCTTTAAAATAGAATCATTTATTTTACCACAGTATATTGAATGGACTTTCTGCCTGTTCATCCTGACAGCCTAATGGTTATGCAGGAATGGGCAAACCGGATCCTGGAGGGCCGGTGTCCTGTAATGTTTTGCTCCAACCCTAATCAAACACACCTGCCTGCAGCTTTCTAGTAATCTTGAAGACACTGATTAGTGTTTTCAGGTGTTTTATTAGTGTTTGAGCAAAAGTCTGCAGGGACACCGGCCCTCCAGAATCAAGTTTGCCCATGCCTGGGTTACACAGTCTTTCTTCTTATTTTAGGCTTAAACAACTAAATAAATCCTGAAGTCTACTTAAATCAATGTGTTTTAATTACAGTACATTACAACATTGATGCTGTAGAAGCAACCATGTAAAAGAAAAAAAAAACATGTTTAACAATTATGTTGTCACATTAAATGTTCTCTGGAAGTTTATTATTGGCTGAAAAACACTAGCTCTGCATAGAGTCCCATTGAAGGCTTATTTATTCAGCTTTCATGTGCCCTATAAAGTTTAATTTTAAAATCTAAACCTATGACTGTGGTTTTGTGATACAGGGTCACATTTATGAAGATATAGATGAAAAGGCATAGATGACAAATGGATGGACAGATGGATGATGAATGGATGGACAGATGGATGATGAATGGATGGACAGATGGATGGATAAATGGATGGGTAGATGGACGGATGGATAGATGGATGATGAATGGATGGACGGATGGATGAATGGATGGATGGATGGATGTATGATGAATGGATGGGCGGATGGATGAATGGATGGATGGATGGATGAATGATGAATGGATGGGCGGATGGATGGATAGATGGATTGATGGATGATGAAAGGACGAATTGATGGACGGATGAATGGATGGATAGATGGATAGATGGATGAAGAATGGATGGACGGATGGATGGATGAATGATGCATGATGGATGGATGGATGGATGGATGATGAATGGATGGATGGATGAATGAATGGATGGATGGATAGATGATAGATGGATGGATGGATGGATGGATGGATGGATGGATGGATGGATGGATGGATGGATGGATAGATGGATAGATGGACAGACAGATGGATGGATGGAAAGATGATGGATGGATGAATGATAGATGTATGGACAAATGGATGGATGGATGGATGGATGGATGGATGGATGGATAGATGGATGGAGATGGATGTACAGATGGACAGATAAAGGATAGATAGATAGATAGATAGATAGATAGATAGATAGATAGATAGATAGATAGATAGATAGATAGATAGATAGATAGATAGATAGATAGATAATGAAGTAATTGTGTTAAATGAGGGGATCAGCTGTCTGGTTTTCACTGGTGGTCTGGACACCACAACAATAGATTTATTTGCATAGAAGGAACAGCGTGTTCCTTCTAGGAACAGTATTGCGACTGAAGAGCTGCCAGGGGGCAGCAGAGGACTCTATAAATGTCCTGTGGATACTTCACACACACACCACACACACACACACACACACACACACACACACACACACACACACACACACACAGTTTCACACACATTTATATCCCGCTATTTTGCTCCTCACAAAATCGCAAACATTTACACGACACTCTGGACTCTGGATCAAGGTCTAAAAAGTGCGTTGGAGAGTCGCCATCTGTTTCCCGGATGGATGTTCGAGCTCTCGCATTTCCAGAGAATCTCCCTCGTGTTCCTGCCAAAGCCTTGATATATAGTGTTTTTTTTATTAAGAAAAAATACAAACAATACAAACACGCCGAACAATATGTCATGGATAAAAATAGCCTAATAAAAACCAAAATAAACAAAACGGGTAGATAAATAAATCATCACTCATTAAAGCAAAAGGTTAAAGACGTCTATCCACAGTAAAGGGGTTCTCCGAGATGCTGCCGTGACGTATGCGGCTCTCCGCCAATCAGAATCCTCGAAACAAACATAACCGACCAGCAGCACTTGTCAGTGAGGAAAGAAGAAAACCCACCGCGAAATGCAGGACCATCTTCCCCCAGCGGCGGTGAAATAACCCGAAAGCGATTCATACATCTGTTTTTATGCGCTTGGGAAGGATTATATCAGCATTTTTGGCCCCTCGAACGTTTTCTTTTCGCCTTATTTCGTGTTTCGGCTTGTTTTAAGGATGTCGGTGGCGGGGTTTAAGAAGCAGCTGCACAAAGCGAGTCAGGTAAGGAGACGCCCGAATCGTGCTGTTTATGTTTTAAAACCCGAGTTTTAGAGGCTTTAACTGGTGGATTTGCAGAAAGAGCTCGTGTATTGTGTTGGCTGAAGTGTTCTGCTGGGCTTTTGTGTTTTAAGAGGCCCGTTAGAGCGGCTGAACCGCCTCAGAGCCGCTTCACTTCTCATCTGAATATTTCCTTCAACTTTGCTACATTTCCCTCAGCGCTTTTGTTTATATATCTCGCTTCGTTGTGACGTAACTACGCGTTGTTGCACACACGCTTTTTGTAAATAAATGTATAAATAGCTTTATTTTTTTGTACTAGACTGCGTTTTCGACCTTTTTTTGGTAACGATGTAAACTTTAAGAATTAAAATACAACTAGTAATGAATAAAATCCTGATAAATGTACAAAACAATGTTGCACAAACATTTATTTTTGTAAATAAACATTTATTTTTGTAAATAAATGTACTATACTGCGTTTTTAGACAACTTGTAGCAATTTTAAAACAATAAGAATTAAAATACAAATGTTTTTAGGTGTCTGATTGAATAAAATCCAGATAAATGTACCAAAAATACATGTTGCACTCACCCTTTTTTTGTAAATAAATGTATAAATAGGTTTATTTTTGTAAATAATGTACTAACTTGTACTGCGTTTTTCAACCATTCAATGATAAAAACATTGAGAATTAGAATACAAATGTTTCCAGGTGTCTGAATGAATAAAATTCTGATAAATGTAGAAAATACATGTTGCACACACATTGTTATGTAAATAAATGTATTAAACTACGTTTTTCGACCACTTGTAGTAACGATAAAAACATTAAGCATTAAAATACAAATTTTTCCAGGTGTGTGAATGAATAAAATCCTGATAATCATGCAAAAATACATGTTGTACACACGTTTTTTTGTAAATAAATGTACTATACTATGGTTTTTGACAATTTGTAGTAACAATAAAACATTAAGACTTAAAATGCAACTGTTTCCAGGCGTCTGAATGAATAAAATCCTGATAAACGTACAAAAATGTTGCACCCACAATATTGTTTTTGTAAGTAAATGTACTATACTACGTTTTTAAACCATTCGTAGTTACGATAAAAAACAATAAGAATTAAAATACAACTGTTTCCAGGTGTTTGAATGAATGAAATCACAATAAACGTTCAAAAAACACATGTTGCACACACATTTTTTGTAAATTAATGTCATTAAGAAATAAAATACAAGTGTTTACAGGTGTCTGAATGAATAAAATAATGATAAATGTACAAAAATATACTGTTTCCAGGTGTTTGAATTAATAAAATTATAATAAACGTACAAAAAATACAAGTTGCACACACATTTTTTTGTAAATAAGTGTACTATACTGCATTTTTCGACAATTTGTAGTAACAATAAAACATAAAGAAATAAAATACAAATGTTTCCAGGTGTCTGAATGAATAAAATCCTGATAAACGTACAAAAAATGTTGCACCCACAATATTGTTTTTGTAAATAAATGTAATATACTGCGTTTTTTGAAAACTTGTATTTACTATAAAAATATTGAGAATAAGAATACAAATTATAATGAATAAAATCCTGATAAACATACCAAAAATACATGTTGCACACCCATTTTTGTAAACCAATTTACTATACAGCGTTTTTCGACAATTTGTAGTAACGATAAAAACATTAAGACTTCTATGTTTCCAGGTGTCTGAATGAATAAAATCCTGATAAACGTACAAAAAATGTTGCACCCACAATATTGTTTTTGTAAATAAATGTACTATACTGCATTTTTTGATCATTCGTAGTAACGATAAAAACATTAAGAATTAAAATACAGCTGTTTCCTGGCGTCTAAATGAATAAAATCCTGATAAAAGTACAAAAATACAGGTTGCATACATTTTATCGCATTGTACTGCGATGGCTGCTTAAATGATAGTTGTGATTGTGTTCATTAATTTGTATTATTACTTTTATATATATTATTCATCAGTTATCATAATCATGTTCTTCAACATGGGGGATGCCCATTAAAAGTGTGGAGGCGTTATCATGTTGCATGATGTTGTCATTTTTGGTTAAGATAACAGTATTAATATGATGTCACTTGTGACCAGGAGATCTGTGATAAACAAATTTGACTTTTACTCCCTAAAACCTACTAAGAAGTTGCTAGCTCTTTAAATTTTTTGTGTGAATGTATATCTCTGTATATGTTTATTATCAGTTTAGAGTAATTATTTTAATCAGTATATTTTAAATAACATATTTTTTTAATTATGATTTATATTTGAATGAACAATTTCATGTTTTGGGTATCTGAATGAATAAAATCATGATAAATGCACACAAATATTAGACAAATAGACAAATATTTAATGCATATCTAATGTTCTTAAAATATAACTGTATGTTAATAATATATTTAATAATATTTTTTTATTAGTGAGACAAAAACAGATGTCATTAAAACCCCAACTGTTTTCATATTCTGAATCATTCATCCAAAAAATAATTGATTTATTTAGTTTTTTCATCCTTGCGAATGTCATCAATGTCAACTGGATCTTCTATAGTGAAACTTGTTGCATTTAGTCTGATTAAAGAATACAATCTCGCGTCCATCTGCGTATCTAACTGGAATGAAGAAAATATTTTCTGTTTCCTTGCTACTTCAGTTATTTAAAATAATATTTTTTCTGACACATCAAACTATGAAGCCCAGCTGTTTTGTCAAAGACAGCATATTTTACCAGCTGGCAGGCAGACAGACACATTCAGACTCTTTGTTTTGCACTTTCACTTCTGCATGTGAAGTCTTCTTTGTTCAGCCATTCTGAATTTAGCATCCGCTTTCAGTGGAGGATGTGTTTGTTATGGAGAGCTGTCAGATCGCTCTTTACCTGATTAATGTTTTGCAATAACTTGGGCAGCAGGTGGTTTAGGGCTTTAATAGTTGGATCAGATCTTGCTACCTCAACCGCACACGTCAAATTATAGAGGTCACAATTTAATTCCTGTTATTTGCAACTCCGGTTACCAAAATGAATGCAGTGGATAAGGCTTCACAGTCTGCATAACTATTAATTAACATTATATGCATAATTAGGCAGACGGGTTCAAAATCTGTTGATTGTTATGCACAAAAAATGAAACTAGGGAATCAGATTAATGTTAAATTAATAATTAGATTTTTTACATCTACAATTATGCTTTTTTTTTTGTTTGTTTTATTTTGTAAGATTTAGAATGCTAAAAGGTCATGTCTGTAGGATTTTACCTCTTCTAAAACATAAAAATACCATAATATGTTTGCAGATATTTAAGAAACATGCTAAATAAACATTCTTGCTTATCTGAAAAACAATGCTGAAGTCAGATATTCCACGGAACGTCTGTCTTTGTTTTTCCCTTTCACCCGCCCAATGCCAGTTTTGCCAAATTATATTTAAACTTCAAAAGAAGATTATGTTTTTGTTGTAAATAATAGGGTGTATTTATTATTTTGCACACTGCTGTGAATAAATTAAAATTGTAAAAAGCAAATGCAGAAAAATGTGAAGCATACAGTATTCAGTGTCTTGTTCTCAGAAACTTCACTAAATGCAGTGATGTTTATCTTTACTGTAGTTTTCAAATGGCTGTGCAAATAGTATCTAGTGCTGTCTTGAGCAAGTGTCACCAAAATCAATCATCAATGCTTGCTTTTGAGGAATGAACTATCCATTTTGAGCAAGCGAGACAATTTTACAGGTTATCAACTAGGTTTTGCAGTTTGTGCTAATTCTTTTGAGAAAAGCAATCACTGTTGTGTAATTGTAAATAGTGTTGTGAGAAATGCACCAAAGACACTGAGAAAAACTATATATTATATAATTATAATTATAATTAAAGGGTTACGAAACACCAAAATTTAAATAAATTTTTTTAATCTGTTCCAGTTTAGCTAAATTAATTCATGCCTCCTCCTGAAGTGACGTGCGATGTGTCTTCGCCGTTTGCGATGCATTAAAACATTGTTTTACAGCTGCAGCTACGCTTCATTCTCGAAATGTATAGTTTCTCTAAAGTGATGTACACAAACTATAAAGTATACTATGAGCAGGGATGCAATCAGCCAGCGCAGTTGTAGCTCCATAGTCAAAAGCAACATTTTGTGTCTGCCGGTTTGTTGCGGGAGTTCATTGGCATTTTGTCCGCACGTGAATTCTAATCAATCGAAAAGCAGTTGAGGAAATACGTTCAACAACATCTGGCCTATGAATGATGTGGGTTTTGTCAGATGACTGCATTTTGATTCTTTTCAACTGGTTCAAACCAAAGCAATCAGTGTGGCAGAAAATGCAACAATGTATCATTTATTGCCCTTGGTCCAGACCAAATGAACCGAGCTACAGATGTGAAAGCACCCTTATCCTCTTAAATCATTTAGTCAGTGTTAATTTTGCTGACTGTTTATTAAAATTCTCTATTTTTTGATCAGCCACATTATTGCACAAATCATCACCTAAACAAACCAGTAAATGGATTTTGAACACACGCAGCCTTACTTAATCAGCATGGCCTTTTGTTTCCCGTTGTATTGTTTTTGAACCGCACGCTGTGCCCACCGACAAATCTGCAGACTGTGTTTTAAAAAAATATTATGATGGCACATTAGCACACATGTTTTGAAGGAATAAAAAAGTGGATATTTTCCAAAGTGAATAAGCTTTTCTCTCTATACTGCATGATTTCAGACTTGCGCTGGTGACGTTTCCATGGACCCTGAGGCAATATACACATTTTTTTTTCATAAAAAGTGACATATTACAAGGAAACGCAACCCCAAACAGAGCGAGTCATGACATGCTGCATTCACATTGCACTACTCATTTTATCACAGTAATCTCCCTAACATTAGGCACACACTTTCAGTATTGAAATGAGTTCAATCATGGGTGAGCTTCAGTAGTTTACAGTTGCTTCACCACATTTTGCAT